TGTCCTATGGAGATGGCAGCCCATCTCCAGCCCTCTCCCTAGATTTTAAGGACAATAGGAACTGCCAATCAGCCAGTTCACAGTTCTGACCTCTTTATATCTCCCTCCTCTGGATTCCTGTAAGAAATCTGTGCCTCCCTCCTAGCACATATCTAAGTGCATCTTTGTATTTTTGAGTCTTTCCATCAGTTCAGCCTTCTCCTCTGTGGAATTCACCAGCTTTGCTTTCAGCTCCTGCAGCTTAGTTTAGCAGTGAACTATGCAGATTTTTGCTCTACTAAAAGCCTTCCACCTTCTGAGCTCTGAGCACTGCCAGTTCCTATTGGTTTTTGAAGAACCTGTTTTCAGGCAACATTTCTCACCTTTGATTTCCTCTGCCTGAAATGCAAGGAGGATGCATGTACAGGAACAGTATATAAATCAGAAAGATAAAATGAGTTTTTCCAGGCTAAAGGAGCAGTGAAAAGTCACACAGATCAAGGAGAAGCCCACAGCACTCTTTATAGAGCTGTCTTCTCTCCTCCTCATTCCACTTTGACTCGCCCTTTCAGAATCCCTCCCAACTGGTAGGGATGCACAGACACATATTTGTTACCTTGCACTGGAGCAAAATATTTTTCACCTCCACTTCTCCGATCCTCCTGCCACATTACATCTTCCTGACATTCACGGTCAGGCTGAACAGGACTCTGAGGGTGAAACCACCTCTATGTTCTCATCCCTCTCCAGTACTGCTGCTTTTATGGTCAACTTGGGCTCACCGGCAGAGAAAAAAGGAGGAAGAAGAGGGTGAAAGCAAGCAGGAGCACCTACCTCCCATTCACAACACAGCTGACCTTGTATCTCAGTAGCTGCAGCTGTAGCAATCTAACAAGCTCTTGACTGTGGGGATCAGTCCTCCTCCTGGTCAGGTGCTTGCTGCCCAGCACAATGCATTGCCTCTAATGAAAACTCGTGATAGCAGCCTTTTGTACCATGCTATTCCTCACGCTCCCTCTTTTACCTTACAACTAGTGGTGGTAGGTGGATGGTTGGACTAAATGACCTTAGAGGTCTTTTCCAGCCTTTATGATTCTGTGGTGACAGCACAAGGTATGGGGACCCAAGGAGGAGAACAGGAAGAAGCAGAAATGGGGGTAATGGGTGTATTGGAAGAGATGAGCAAAGATGGATTGCAAAGATATTGGTGGAACTTGTTGGAGGTGCTCTGGAGAGCTCATCTGGAAAAAGCAGTTCAGTATGGCAGTGGTGGAGAGATGCATGGGGCCCAGGTGAGAGCTGAGGTGTGAGGAACAGGAGCAGCAGGAGGCAGCTTTGAGAAATACTCTTCTGAGTCAGCTAGTGATGAGCAGAACTATTATCAAACACCTCATCCCCTCTCTGACAGCCACCCAGCAGCCTCAGCACAGCTCCGATGCGAGCCCTGCGTGGGCAATCGGTGTGCAGTGAGAAGGGACTAGCGTTGGACACAGCGTGGCAGCCCCTCTGGTGTCACCCGGCAGAGGTGGGCTGGAGGTGCCACCGTGTGGGGGAAGCCCGCATTGCTCGCCCTGATCCATTCGTAGACAGAATTCTCTGACTCTGGCCATGGGAAGGTGGTCGGCTGCCGTCCAGGACTGACCATGGGGCTGGAGAGCTGCGAGCATCATTAAAACATCGGCACACTTTTCCTCCGGCTCCAACTTCACACGGCAGGACACTGATGCAGGAGACAACATCAAGGGAAGAAATGAATTTTAACAAGTGGAAAACAACAGCCTTCAGCATGTCAGCTGCACCTTGAGAAAGCAAAACTGCCAAGAGGCAAAGTAAGACACCAAAAACCAAGCCCCTAGGGGCTGAGCAGGTTCCACCAGAATCATAGAATCATTTGAGTTGGAAGAGATCCTAAAAGGTCACCTGGTCCAAATCCCTCGCAATGAACAGGGCTTAATCGGGTGCTTGGAGCTCCATCCATCCTGACCACGAATGCCTTCAGGGATGGGGCACCCACCACCTCTCTGTGCAACCTGTGCCAATTCCTGTGCAACTGCCCAGGGAATCACTGCCCCTGGAGGTGTTAAAGAAAGATATATATGTGGTACTTAGGGATGTGTTTTAGTGGGCAGTGTTGATCATAGATGCGCAGTTGGAACAGATGATCTCAGAAGTCTTTTCCAACCGTAATGATTCCATGATTCTAATAAAGTTAAGGTCCATCAAAGTCACTTTCAGTAGTCCACAGGTACATGAATTCATTTCCAGATAAACTTCTCTTTGATAGGGAAATGTAGTATTAGAATTAAAAAGATAAATAACCACTTTTTGTCTAAACATTTTAATTTGCTTATTTCTTGGAGTCAGAGTTCATGTCTCTGCAAAGTACGAAGTCATAAGATGATTTTCAGTTCAATGCCACTTTATCTGCACACAGCGGATGTTAGACTCCAAATCCTAAGAATCTGTTATTCATGCATACTCTGTATGAAAGGACTTAGCATCTTTGTAAGGAAGCAGAAATCCACTACTGCTTACTCACTGCCATAATGGGTTCCACCATATATATATGGTGGATATAAAAGATTCTCAGAGGTAGTTCAAAGCAGGTGATGCAGAGTTCTTTCTGTCAGAGACTTGAAGGGTAGATTTTTCTTTGCCCTTGGCTTACTCCTTGGGATAATAGTTTTTACCTTGTGGGCACTGATCTCCGAAGTCACCTGTCAACATCTAAGCCCCAAACTGCCATCTTACTTCCATAGAGCTGACATGGAGAGGAGCAGGTGTTGGGAATGAGAATCAACACACTGCAAGAACTCGGTCCATTTGTCTTCTCAGTGATCAGGGACAACGGCGGTGTCGCAGCCTGGATGAGACGCGCTTGGTGGGGTCCAGCCTGCCCTGTTAACCTCCGCTCCGCAAGGGGGCGCCCTGCACGGAGGTGGCGTAGAGCCGCCACTTCCGCCCATATCCGCCTCGCACCGGAAGTGGCCGTGCTTTCGTTCTGGAGCGCGGCGACGGTGGTCGCGTGGCACCGCCGCTTTCCGCCGCCGTCCGCGGTCCGTCCTCGCCGCGGCACTGGGCACGGCGGGAACCAGGCCAGTGGGACCCTGGAGAGAGTTGGGTACCTCGCGGCGGTTATTTCCCACACGCAAAGGTGGCGGGAGTACAGCGGGTAACACGGGCGCTTTCATCTGTGAGGCGAGAGCAGGAGGGCTGGGCTGTGCCGTGTGCCTCTGTCCAAGGTGCTGCCCTGCCCCGCCTCTGACGGACGGCGGCAGGACGGGGCGCCGGGCGCCGGGCTGCCAGCTGCACCCCTCATGGAGCTTCGCAGTGCGTCCTGTGCGAGGGCTGGAGCATAAGAACAAAGTTCCGATGAAGCCGCTGCTTGTTTGTCCGTTTAAATAATCAAGTTTAGACGTTGTTTGGTGTTTGTTTGGCCGTCGTCTTCGTGTCTGGGAGATAACCCCTGTGCAAAAAGGCTGCGTTAGGGCAGGGATGTGCAAGCAAGAAAATAAGGTCTGTGCTCAAAAAGCATACCTGCACACAGTTGATCTTTGTCTCTTGAAGCTGAATACGTAATTTGTGAAGGGAAGAAAAAAATCTGTGCTTACCTCTGAGTGATTTGGAGGCCTTCCATCCAGTCCAGCATGCACACAGCATGTGTGTAATGCTGTCAACTTGGCTGCCTCAAAGGCGTGTGAAATGGAAATGTTCTAAGTGATCTAGCAAGACAAAATATTTCACCTCTTAGGTAAAAAAGAGCTTAAGAAGGCAAAAGGAGTCCTGTTCAGAAGCATGCTAACATGGAGTTTGTCAAACTCTCCCACATTTCAGTGATTGATTAGGAATATGGTGTGTAACTGTTCTGATTCCCTATTAAAGTGAACATCCCCATAGTTTCAAGTTGAAATAAATTGGTGTTGGACTCTTTGAGCAGTGACAACCACTTCAAATTCTGCAGACAACACCAAACTATATACATTGGTACTACTGCAGATTATTACATTTACCTGGAATTCTGGAAATTAATCCAGAAATCACGAAAACAAAACCACAGTGGAGGTGATCAGAACTGTTCTCTGTCAAGACACTCTTGGGTGGGAACGTTCCTGGAGGACCAGCACATCACTGCTCTCACTCAGTCCTAAGAAAAATAAAACCTGCTTTTGTGCTTGCTCCAGATTTGGAGAAAGCTAAAAAATAACAAAATCATTGTTATTGCTGTTGGGTGAGAGGAGGACAATTTCTTATGAATATGGACATAGGAAATGTCAACTTTGCTGGAAGGTGGCCATTAGGATGCAAGGTTTGTCTGGGTTCATAAACCTTCCAGTGTGGGGATGTTGTTCGGATGCGTGGAAGACAGCAGCTCTACCCAAAACGGTCCATTATAGAGCAGAAGGTCCTACTTATGTTCCTGTAGGACATAAATAAAAAGAAAATCTTCTCAAACACGAATCAACTTGTTAGTGCACCAAGTGAGTGACTGCCACGTGCTGCGTACAGAGAGTTCGGAGGCCTCTCGGTTCTTTGCTTAGAGGAAAGATGCTGTCATGCTCTTCCCCTCGCTGCCACAGGGTCGCGCCATTGCATTGTCTGCGTCCCGGCACCAAGAACTTCTGCCTTGTCCGCTTGACAGGGGCTGTCCCTGCCCTGGGGATGGGATTCGTGGCGACCCGGGGAATCGCTGAGCTGGAGTTTGGATGTTTAAGGCTCCCTCCCACCCCCTGGATTCCAAAAGCACGGTGCAGAGCTTGCTGGGCTAGGATCCAGCCCCAGAGCTGGGTCCCAAAGAGCCTGGGCCTCCCTCTGCATAAAGGGAACGCAGACAGAAGGATGCACATGGGATATGGTTATCGGGGTAGAAAAAGTGATGGAAATGGTGATCTAAATGGGTTTTCCATTTTTTTTTCTCATGAAGGAACATGTTTCTGAGTTGTTGTCCAACCCTTTGACCACATTGAGTAAAGAGGAATTGTTTTGAGCTGCATATACAAAGATCACTCCAAAAGTATCCAAAATTACTTCTCTTATTACTTATATATTTTCATGGAAACTGCAACTGATAAACAGTACAAAAACAATATTTGATAGATAAAATTACTAGCTAGAAAGCATTATTTTTCAACATAGTCACCACCATTAGCTATGCTTTTTTACCAGCACTGAACAAAAGCCTACATGCTATGCTTGTCAAAATGTGCACCAGAGGAGGTGACCCACTGTGCTGTCACAATGCACCATCCACCTCCTCACTGTGCTCACATACCCTGCTTGGTCTCCATAAACGTTTACCAGGTGCTGAATGTCAATAGTTACCATTTTTTCCACATCTTTGGTCATGTGCCCTTCCATGTCAGACACCATTTGGTCATGCTGCTCTCTCCTGCCATCTGTCACACAGCAACATGTAACAGAATACTGGTGGGAAGGTTCAACTTCTACTGCTATCCTACAAACATCTGCCTCTAACATCATGGACTAACATCATAAAATAGGTGGCATTGTTAAGTATAAATAAGTATGTAATGTAGCTAATGTACATAAGTAACAAAATTTATTTTAACTTTTTAAAAATTAAAACATCTTTAAAAAAAGTGAGCAATAAAATCACAAAATTAGTGGGATATATCACCTTGTTTTTGTGAAACTGATGCATCAGGTTGTTTAGTGGCAGTGGTTGCAATTCTTAGTGAGTTGTCAAGGTGTTCATCAGAGATTAAATTTTACTTTTCCCATGCAAGGAAGTGTGCTCTTCTTGACAATATTTTTTCACAAATATGCATACTATCAACAAGCAGTAACATAAATAAGGAATGACTGTGAACTGAGGGGTATTTCTCCCTGGTCTGAAAATCTGGTTAAGAGACAGGATCAGATTTTTTAGTTCAATGTCTGATCACAACTCAACACACTCCATTCGAAAATTCACAGGTAATGAATTTATGACGACTGGAACTGGAGTTTCAAACGTAAGTTGATCAATTTTTTTGCAATCTTGAAATCTATTCTCAAATTTCTTTTGCAAAACTGAAAGCAAAGCTGCATCTTTTTCACTGTTCACAGAACTATACTTAGCCAACGTAACAAAATGCACACAATTATTTATGACAGCATTGCACTGCGCCCTCGCCTTGTCCTGGTGTCAGCCCACTGCACACTGATGTGCAGTGGGACAAAGTCTGGGCAGAATGTAAATCAGCCCAGGGCATTTGAGGTCTGGGATGCCTTAAAAGCCATATAAAGACTTCTGCCTCTAAGGCACACAGGGCAGTGCTGTAGCTGCTGAGAACACAACAACTTAGCTATAAGGCACCAAATAAGGAGACAGCAAGAAAGCAGGTCGGTAAGTGGAAATTTTCAGAACTGTGCTAAAAGCAAAACAGGTCAGGAATCTTTTGAAGCCAAAAGGTACTGCTTGGGCCAGTACTGCTCTTATGCTGACAAATAGTAGCAATACATCATAGCTGGGACAGCTGAACTGAACTTCTCAGAACTGTCTACAGCTAAGTCTGGAATGTGTATCTTTTTTCCCTCCTTTCTCTCTCTCTCTCTCTTTTTTTTTTTTTTTTTTTTTTTTAACATTTTGGCTGAATTTTTGCCTCACTCTGCTAGAGAGCAGAGCTTGCGGTGCCTTACATCCTTTTTTTAGCCAGGCTCCTGCGTGATGTCATCTCCAGGATGCTGAAGGGACAGTTTGCTCTCCTTGTCTTGGTTCTGTTTTCGTTCTTCTTTTTTCCCCTGCAAAAACATGGGGGTGAGCCTTTGGTGTCCATAATCCCCTTTTGTGGGCCATAATCTCATTTTGTGTGCTGTAATCCCTTTTGGTGGGCCATAATCCCCTTAAGGTAGGTGGTAATCCCCTTTGGTGGGCCATAATCCTTTTTGGTGGGCCCTAATCCCCCATGGCACTGAGATCCCTTCCCAAGGTGGGACAGGGCTGCCCTATGACAGCTGCAGGACAGAGAAGGGTTCCCAGATCCCAGAGCCCCCTGGTATCTCCAAAACATAGAGGCAGGATCTGAAGTCTGGTGTTAGGGGTTGAGGATGCAACATGAAGGCATGCAGATGTAATGGTGATGCTGTGGATCTGTGGTTTCCCTCACTCACAGCTCTGTGTTTTGGAGGACAGGAGCGTGTTTATACCCAAACTGACATGCATGTTTGGCATGAGAGCACCTCACAACATGCCCAAAGGAACAATTACACTATGGCCAGAGCAGGCTCTTGGTGTCCCCCCCAGGGTAGTGATCAAGTCTATGTCACTCTGCAGGAAGGCAGGTGGGTGCTTTCTGCTGAGCACTGAATGTTCCTCATTAAATAATGAGGATTTCTGAAAGAATTAGCAGGGGAAGGAGAAACCGAGGCGGGCAGTGAGTTACATGGGTGCCTGTGGTCTGTGTGCTGCCATCCATCTTCTTCTTGTAATCTGGAAGTGAAGGAGAGGGCATCAGCTGCTGGGATTCCAACACTGTGTGAGCTTCATGGGGCACGGGAAAGAAATGGGGCTGCAGGGTGCAGTGGATATGAGAGGCTTTCTCTTGGCCAAACCCCTCAATTTTCAGAAACACGAGATTTCTGCTTCAGATGGAGAGCAAGAAAGCAGCACAGAAATGGACACCCAGCTTGCCTGCAAGCTCTGCACCTCTAATATGCCACCCATTGGCTTTATGCTGTACAATATTCCCTCTGTTCTGGATTCTGAAATGCTTTCTACAGCCTTGGAAAGTGTGGGATTCCCCTTTCCACAGGAGCTGCTGCCAGAGTGTGAGAGCTGAGCCCAGGATCTTTGTGGCCAAGCAGCTAGTTAGGAAGAGAATCATTGGGTACTTACAGCAGAAGGAGAATAGCAGCAGCAGGAGAGCTGCCAGGACAGCAAAGACGCAGCTGGCAATCACACTGACAGGTTCTGAGCAGCCACGCTCTGCCAGGGAGACAGTGAGAAGTGTCAGTGGTCTCTCTTCCATCCCACTTAACCAGCTCCAGAGCTGGAATGTCCCAGATGGGGGTGGAGAGGAGCATCCTTAGATTTCATACATTTGAACTCCAGGGGCAAACCTTGCCCTGCTGTTCCCTCCCTGCTCATCACATGGTTTGCCTTGGCTACTCCAAGTGCAGATCCCCTTCCTGAATCACCAGCCTACAAAGCCACCCATGGAGTCCCACTGCCCAGCCCCACAGACACCCCAACCCTCCCCACGAGGAAGGCAAGCAAGGGTACATGCAATGAAAACCCAGTTAGCCCTTACCATGGACCTGCTGGAAGTTGTGGAGCAAGAGACAAGAGAATGACAAGTTGACTGCCAGTGTCATGGCTGTACTGCACAGGATGACATGATACCCTGGAGAGAGGAGAATTTCTGATGGGTGGGGGGGCAATGGTGAAGAGGAGCTGGAACAGGGAGGAGATGGGCATCAGTGGGGAGCAGGGCATGGGCACCATACATGGATGTGCCCCACAGCAGCGTTCATCCCTCCTGTAGTGATAACCTCAGAGGCAGCTCCTGGGCTCTTATGGGGCTTTTAGCACCAGGGGTTTGTGTCCCCGCCTGCAACTCACTGGTCTGGTCTGGATACCGGGTGAGTGCTTCTGGTCTGCACTGAGAGATCATGGCAATCAGCACCACAGTCATGACTGCAGCAAGGAAGCAAAGCCCATGCAGGATGAAGGCAGCAGAAGGACCTATGGGAAAAAGAATTAAACAAAGAATTGGGATGGGAAAGATTCTCCTGGTTGAGGCTGAGCAGTGACCCCAACACTGATTTCTACCAGTCAGCTACCAGGACATCAGACAAGGATGCAGGGCTTCAGTGAATCTTACCCTCTTCCTGCATCCAGATGACAGAGGTGACAAACAGGAGGAGACATGAGATGCCCAGCAGCCCTATGATGGGTAGAGTTAGCCATGTCCGTGCTTCTTTTCCTGTTACAAAAGGCAATCAGACTTGCATTGGAGCTCAGGACCTCACCAATGAGGTGCAGCCTGTGAAGGAAAATGAATGCAAGCACAGATTTTCTTTGTAAAGAATCAAATCCCCAAGGTTTTGAACCCCTGATGACAAATCCTGGTGGACTTCAAAGGGTTCTGATGGGCTTACAAAAGCTTTGCTTGACTTCTGGAGAGACAGTGAGATTCCAGCCAGGTCTGGGGTTGCTCTAAGCTGAACAAAACAGCATTTTCATCTGGTTTGGCACCTTAATGCACTTCTGCCCAGGTTTTTGCCTCTTACAGTGGCAAACACTGGATTTCTTCTGGAGATCCAGTTTACAAAGAACTCAGATGGCACAAGCTCTCACCACAAGCACTGGGCATATAGAGCTCCTCAGGAAAGATTACCCCCAAAACAGGACCTAACTCACAACTCCATTGTTAATACAGGGAGACAGATCAGTCTAGGACAATATTCCCATGTATGGTTGGTCTTCATCTCTGTTCCTCAGTCGGTCTCCCTTATACTGGGGGTTGTTCTTGATGGGTAGAAGAAGATAGAAGAAGACTACAAAGACTGTCGTTGGTCTTTCTTTTGGCTAGGTCTTATGGTTTGCTTTCTGGTAACCAAATATTGATTGTCATTGAAGCGCCCACATTAACCTGTAGGCTTGGGTATGGATGCACAGCATTATGCAGAGTCCTGACCCAAATGCCAGTGAGCTTGGTCACCGAAACCAATGCCACGTGGTATTGGGTCAGCTCTCAGCACCTTCATGCAGGAAAACTCTTTGTGTCCTGCCTGTTCTGTTTCAGCCCAGGGATGCCCAAGAAATGGCAGAGGACAGACTAGCATGCTTCATACCATGATATCATGGCATGCATTGTATACATAGCATAAGTAGCTTGATTTCTCCCAAAGCCATTTGGGATTAACTGCTGCTAGGACTCTGTATTTCTGTGCAATATACAGATGCATAAGAAGAAGTATATGAACTCCATGAACACTGAGCAGGGTTCCTCCACCAAAGTGAGTTAGTAGAGAAAGGCTTTACTGCACCCTCTGTCCTCTCTGCGGCATGGAGAGAGGGCTCAGTCTGGGGATTTGGGTGTGGGCACTCACCAAGTCTGTGCTTCCCCGGCTGCAGAAGCCAGATGACAAAGCTGATGGCAGTGATGACAGTGAGAGCCAGTGCAGCCACTGTTGTCCTCAGTGCAACTTGGAGAGGAGGCGAGAGACCTGCAAAGTGAAGTGAGGGGAATTAACACTGAAGACAATTCTGAGACGTGCAGCAAAGCACTGCAGCCCCACCACAGGCTGATGCTTACCTGCTATCGTGAGTTTGAAGGTTGCCTCTTCCCAGCTTATGGCATTGCTGACATTGCAGGAGTAGGAACCACAGTTCGACTTCTCTCCCTTCCTTATCCACAACTCAGTGGAGTTCTGAGTGAGCTGATAATAATTCTGTGGGGTAAGGGAATGTCCATCCTTCTTCCAAGAGACAGCAGCCACGGTTCCATTGGGCAGCAGGCAGATCAGCTTGATGAGGGAACTGTTCAGGTTTGAGCTCTTCAGGAGTTTAGGCTGGGGTACAGGCTCTGGAAAACAGAGTGACATGGCAGCACTCCCTTGGATTGCCTCTGTAAGAGGTATTTTTGACTAATGGTAACAATCAGGCCCCCTGGTCCTTTATGCAGAGGGCTGCCTATTGGACAGGCAGTCCCAACCCACTAGAAAAAGGAGACCCTCTTGCCACTACTGGGAAGGTTGACCAATTAGCAGAAAGTGTTCAAAAAGGCTGCTTGTCTTCACATGATCTATGATAAAAGCTTCAGGCCACCACAAATTACCCACTAGGATGCCCATCGATCCCAAGCAGATGACCTCTTTATAATTAGGGGGCTTCCAGAACCATTGAAACCTGTAGGTATATACAACTGCGAGGATAAATACAGGTTATGTCTCAAGGAGAAACAATCCAGACAACATTAGAAGGAACTGTAATCCCTAACAGTCAATAACTGGAATACAAATTGTGGACATAGTGGGTGCGGGGTTGCCCAATACTTAATTAACTAGAGATGAAAATACAGACCATGACTGAATGCAGTAAGGCAGACAGTTGATTTTAATCACTTATATTTTGATGACTATCTTTGTAAAATTCAGAATTTTAGGCTGGGTTTGTAGAGCAAAATGTCAATTCTATTGTTTTGGTGTAATGTATGGGTCACGAGCCCCAGAACAATCCATTATCCCCTTCAGGACTTTGGGGATTAAGAGAATGGCATAAGGAACTCTTTTAGCCAACTGGCTGAGCAAGCAGCAAACATTTTTAACCTCACCAACTGCTGGGTCTCTGGAGGACCCACACAACTTAAAACCTAGCCCTGGGTTTCAACTCCTATTGTCCTGGTTGGCAAGTAACTACAGCAGAATTGATTGCAGCACCCGCTGGGAAGAACACATCTTCACAGCCAATCCAATATCCCACTAGGGAATTATGTCTGAACCAAACTCAGCCAGGTGGTATCTAGGTTGGGAATAACAGTTGCACTTGGGTTTATTATAAAATGGGTTATGAGAGAAAAGCACACTAATTAAAAATGGGGGTGGTATAATCATTTGGGAACTGAGGATGGATATCCTTATTTTTGGTCCTCCGTAAACAACACGCTGTTTTCCAAAACTGGAGGTATGAATTTTCCTGCAAGCCCTATGCTGGATCTTGGAGTTGTAAGTGGCGCAGGGATGGAAGCGATGCTGGTAAAGGCTGGAACTGTAATGTGGCAGGACCTCTGAACACCACGTACTTCCAAGCTAAAGAATATGTAAATAAACCTGCTACGGAATGGATATTTGAAAAGGAATCAGCAGCACTGAAGGGACACTGGTGGATTTGTGCCCATTATGGCCGACAAGCAACTACCTGCAAATTGGTCTGGGGTAAGTTATATGGGAACAATTCTCCCAGGATTCTTTTTGCTCCTGGGGGAGGTGGTGATGAATTAGGTGTCAAAGTATACGACGTTCTCATTGTCTGGATGACTGTCCATTGACACCTCCACAACAAGTGGTAGCAGCCAAACTTGGACTAAGGACAACTGGCTGCCTCAGTATAGAACCAAACACCACAGGCCAGCCACCCAGAATCCCAATGAATGGATTTAGTGGTGCTCGAGAACCCATTTATAACCTGAACCGCATTCTCAGATTACAAACCATCCTTGAAATTATTACTACTGAAATGGCTCATGCCCTGGATCTCCTTGCAGATCAAACCACGCAGATGCAAGCAGCAGTATTTCAGCACTGCACAGTTCTTGACTGCTTACCAGCCTAAGAAGGGAGTGTCTGTGACTCTAGTTCTAAAGACTGACAACAATGGTGATGTTGTTCAGCAAATTGCTAAAGGTATACAGCAAATAGCCCATGTTCCCATCCAACTTGAAAAAACATAGATTTTTGATCTCTTTTCTTTGCTTCCAGAGGGTCCGTAGGTAAAACGTGTACTATTTTATCTACTTTGTGCTACTGTAGCTCTTATGTCCATTCCTTGTCCCAGCCTGTGTTTAATTCAACTTATTCAACACATTTTATCTTCTATGTATTTTGTAACCTCTTCAACTGATGGGGAAGTCTAACAGATCAGGGCAACATTTGTCACCAAACCCAGGAAATCTTCTGTAGTGATTGTACAGAGCATTTTATTCACTCCCCCTCCCTTCCTTTGCCTGTACACTTTTTTTATTCATCAGGTAGCAGGCCCAGGAGAATCAGCCCTTGCTTTACGTAAAAGACTCGTTCTTTTCCTATCACCCACCTTCCTTTCCCCATCACCTAATTTGTAATAATAATAATCACTAGTCTTTCCCTTCCACATCACATTAAACTGATAATAAATGGTCAGACAACATTTGACTTTTCTTTCTTGTGTTTCAGTCTTACTCCAAGTACACCAAAGAATCTCTTTATCTGATAGCCAGAGTGAGACTGCCACTCCTCCCTCCTTAAAGCCAGCCCCGGTTGAGATGCAAGAACTGTGAGCCCTATGGGGAGAGCAGCACCTTCCCACTTTGCAACTCAGCCTTGGTTCAGCTCAGAGAGACAGAAGATACTGCAGAAGCAAGGCAATGACTACAAAGTTCAACAGCTGCTGCCATCAAGGCACTGTGCCAACTCAAGGATGGGTGGTGCTGACTTTTGGATGTCAGGCATGGCACCCCGGGGTCAGGGATAGCAGTCTGAAGGGGGTACCAGGTAGGATTATGCTGGGAAGTGATGACAGGGACTTCCTGGACACTTTCTTCCAAGAGGAAAGGACTGCTCACACATAGTAGTGGTATGGGGAAGCACGGGGCATAAGAGAAGCCATCAAGTTTAGCCAAAAAGCATCCTGGCCTAGTGGAAGTTGTCTCTACCGTGAGCAGGTTTTGGAACTGCATGGTCTTCGAGGTCCTTTCCAACCCTAGCCATGCTTTGAGTTTATGATTTTAAGGTCGGAGGGCATTTTAGGATGTTCACCTCCTAATTCAGCTGCTAATGCTGAAACAAGGAAGTACACGTTAAGGAAGAGGGTGCCTGACTCCTGTCCATGTCTTTCAAAGCAGTGACAAAACCAGAAAATGCACACTTGTGGTCTCATCTATCATACTCATGGCAAATCTCTGCCAGAGCAAAACATGCTTTCAACCTATTCCGACTTACTGATTACTTCCAGGATAGTTGTCCTAGCCCTGTCCTGCATCAGGTCAACTGTTGCTTTATAGACGCCACTGTCTGCCTCCTGCAGCTGCTGCAGGAGAAGCGAGCCATTTGTTTGGTAGAAAACCACCCTGTCTTTGTATGCGGCATAGATGACTGGAGACTGCGAGGAGGCGTAGTACTGCAAGATGAATTCGACTTTGCTGCCCTTTATGCATTCCCACTCAGTGACATTCACATTGCTGATTGCCGGTGCGTGCATCATAACAGAGGATCCTTCTGCTGCAAGTTTTCTTTCTGTGATTTCCACCCCAAGGCAGGATCCCAGGAAAAGGAGCAACACATCTGGAAACAAGAGAGCTGCCAGAGCATGGCGGGTTAGTTTAAACGAGAAGCCAGAGAACAACTTGATTGGCTCATAGACTCTTTGATTTCTTGGCTCCCATTATGCCACATCTGATTTACTTCCCCCTTCTTAAGATAAGAACACATCAATTTTGACCTGTTATATAAATGGCTCCTAGCAAGCTAAGACAGTTCTTTACCTTTGGAAGGAGGATAACAGGACTCCATACTCCTCGAGAGTAACATGACAAAAAGTGCAACAATGAGAGCAGAGCAGCAAGATCCTAGGCTGCAATGAGTAAGAATTTGATCAAATGCAACAGCCATGAGCACAGAAACAAAGGAAAGAAGCTACTTACCCTTGGAAGAGCTCAGGTAGGTAGGGATCTCCAACAAGACACCCTCACCTCCACTGCCAACCCTTAAATTAAGTCTTGGAAGGGGTGGATCCTGGCTGCACCCTTTCCAGTCACTCAGGTACATTACATGCACCTGAGCTCCCCTGGGTTGGCCCTGCCTTCCCACCAATCACTGGTTCAGGCTGTGACTTAGCATTCTTTCCATAATGGTGGTTACTGCTCAATGGGACCACACGCAGTACACCTTCACCCCCAGGCCTCATGCTGTCTCAGCAACAGGACCTAGTGGTACCCAGGCACAATGATACTGCTGCACCTCACCTGCAGAGATGCTCATTCCTTGACGAAGACAGAGGTGTAAGGGAGCACGAAAATGTTTCAGGACCTGCCCTCCACCTCTCCCAGCTCTGCTGAAGCAGCACAGCTGCCCAGCAGCACCCAGCCCAAGGATATGCACAGCTGAGTTCCTCTCTCATACTCACAGTGTGTGATTGACATGGCCAAGACCTGCGGGTGTCTTCAGGCCTTCATTAGGTCTGAGCTTCTCCTGCAGTGATGTACTCTTGGTGGGGTTCTCTAGGAATAGTGTCCCCACCTGCAAATGACACCATGCAAAGTGGTAATGCTGTTGCTATCTTGTCTGCACCCCTTCCCATGCACTGTGTATTTGCAATGCTGCAGCTCCTCTTTGTCCCTTCAGTATTCATTTAAAGAGCTGCTGGCTATTACGGTCATGTTCCCTGCATGTACCGAAGCACTTTTCCTCAGCTTGAACACATTCCTTTACCACCTCAAGATGACTTAGCTCTTGAGGGGTTGCAGGCACTGCATCTGCCTTATTCACCTTCTTAATGACTTGGAAAACCTCAATTCCACTTCCATACCAGCCAGTTCTCTCCAAATTGAATGTTCCTGTCCAGTTTGAGCTCTGTCTCATAATTCTTTTAGCTTTTGCTCTCTGGACTTTCTGTATTTTTAGGAGACTTTCTTTACTCTAGAAACTCCAGTATGTATAGTGCTGATCTGTTTTCATGGGAGATCTCAAGCACAATCTGCCTGTGCACAATGCACTTTGCAGCGAGGTGCAACCATGCTCATAGCTGCCTTCAGAGCCCAGACACAAGATCTGGCATCTGGACAACAGGGACTGCTTTTACTGCTGGGATTTGCAAAGCTCTGGAAGAAGGATGATGATGGAGGAGCTCATATTTCCAGCGAAGAGATTTCACCACCCTGAAATTAAAGTTTCAGATGGGACCAGAAGAGAGGTCAAGGTGTTCTGCTTTAGGGACATGTTTAGGGACACAGTATGGCTGGGTGTAAGAAGCTGGACACAGTTTTTGCCTCAAAGCTTGTTCAATGGCACCCATCTGAAACATAACCTGCTCAACAAGTTTTTGGAGTCAATGTTACCATGAGCACAGAGAATCATACACGACTGAGCAACCTGGAGAAACCTTTTGGGTTGTCGCTTCTTTTGGACATTCAAGCTGACTTATGGGGGTCATCTCAGAGGAGAGGACCACCGTGCAGTCAGTGCCCATGCCTAGCTACCCACCATGCCACAGTCGAATGATCAACTGCCAGTTACCCAACGGGAAGGGCATGTACTATGGACATTTTATTGCCTTAATCTTCCTCCAGGTATACATATGTCGAACCATCCCCTCCAACAATTGAATTGAGACAGTGAGAAAAGAAGCTCTGATGCACAGATGAGGCCCTGTGCTGAAAGCTGAGCCCACTTCAGATAGTCATTACCTCCTGGCAAGATCCATTTGTCTTCCATGGGCCCCAGCATAGTTCAGAGAAGCATCTGAAGGAAAGGAAGAAAAAAAACAATTTCAATTATGGAGCTGCCTTGGACCACTCTGAGCCCATTCCCAACCCAGCATCCTAACCACAAAAGTAGCCAAAACCCAAGGAGAGAGGGATATAGGCAGGGCACATCATGTTCAAGCCTGCGATGGAGACCTCCAGTCCTGGCTGTCCTCACCACCCAAGGGGCTGATTGCAGCTCTGTGGCTTCTGCCCTGATCAAAGGACTTCAGGAAATGAGCTTTTAGAAGAAGTCACGTGAACTTCTGTGCACTGCATTATCTGAGGCAGAGCGGTTGCTGCAGGCACAGAGCCCTGGTGGCAAGGCTTGTATGTGAATGCACACACTCAGGGCTGCTGGTGGAGCTTCATGGGCTCAAAGAATATCCTCTGTGAATTCTTTGAAGTGGAGAAAAAGTGGGAAATGTGGTCTGCTTTCCCTCTGCAAAATGCCTGTGACCTTGGACGACATTATGCGGCAAAGGGCTGAGGGAGTGCTAATGCAAAGATCAGCCACTTTCCAGCCTTTTCTCTGGCATCCTCATGATGTCTGAGGTTTATTCAAGAAATAGTTGAGGGAAACAAGAAAAATATTCTTTTCTGGTATATACAGCTATTTGAAGGATGTGGGAGCAAGGGTTGTGGAGGAGGCACCATTTAAAGATGAAGAATTTCCATTTTCCAAGCAAATCCCAGCTGGCACACCCTATTTCCCAATCTGGGCATCTGGGTCCTAGAGTCCATCTCAGCTCTCTCTGTGCACACAGGGAGGGGCTGAAGTTCCCCCAGTAAAGAACAAGGCAAGTTTGCAAGAAAGACTCCTCTGGAGGAAGGATGGTGGTTTGGAGGACCTTCCTTCTTTGGCTCCGGACTAGGAACAGAAATGTCCTCCAGCTCAAATGAATTGCACAAAGCTGCAGCACTCAGAAGAGAAAAGAAATGTTCTAGGCCACAGTTCCAGCACCCAGACAGTATTGCTTCACTGAGAGATAAGTTTGCAAGCAGGCATGTGATGAAGTTCCTCTGCAAATTGCTGCTCCCCCTTTATAAAACAGATGCCTCCTCCATCTTCTCCGGTTGTGATAGGGAGAAATAAATAAGGTCCCCCGGGGAAAGGAATTCATGTCAACATCAGTTAGTTATCTCACGCTCTGAGGAAGTCTGTGCCAGGAACTGAAAATCACCTCCTCCCATGAATGTTTGCTACAGCGTGGGATTGATAGCAAATGCTAAAACTTTCCACGGGGGCAGAGGTTGAAAGAAATTTTAGCTGAACATGGAGAGGGAGGACAGGTCCACAAAGAGCCTTTTGTTAAAAGGCAGTGAGGCTCTCCAGACAGCAGCTGTCTGCTGCTGCTCTTCCGTGTGGGCATGGCTGATACTGAGAGCTGGAACATGAGCAGGATCAAAGAATATAAAGCCAATATAAAGCCCTGGGAGCACAAGTGGAAAACACTGGCGTGCAAGTTATCTTCTCCCTTTTGCCAGCTGGAGCAGTAGTCAACATGGATTTACCAAGGGGAAATCCTGCCTGATGAACACGATAGCCTTCTGTGATGTCATGACTGGCTGGGTAGGTGAGGGGAGGTCAGTGGATGTTGTCCCCCTTGACTTCAGCAAAGCTTTTGTCTCCCACAACATCCTTGCAGGTAAGCTGAAGAACTGTGGGATAGATGGGCAGACAAGAAGGTGGATTGAGAACTGGCTGACTGGCAGAGCTCAGTGTTGTGATCAGCAGGGCAGAGTCTAGCCTTTATCTACTGGAGTTCCCCAGGGGTTGGTACTGGGTCTGGTCTTGCTTGACGTCTTCATCAATGAACTGGATGAAGGAGTAGAGTGTATCCTTAGCTGGTTTGCTGAAGATACAAAGCCAGGAGGAGTGGCTGACACACCAGAAGGCTGTGCTGCCATTCAGTGAAACCTGGACGGGCTGAGAGCTGGGTGAAGAGGAACCTGATGAGGTTCAATGAGTTCAAGAACTGAGTCCTACACCTGGGGAGGAATAACTGAATAGATCAGTACCAGTTCTGGGCTAACCTGCTGGAAAGGAGCTCTGCAGAGAAGGACCTGGGTGTCCTGGTAGCCAACAGCATGGCCATGAGCCAGCAGCATGCTCTTGTGGCCAAGGAGGCCAGTGATATCCTGCAGTGCATTAATGTGAGTGTGGCCAGCAGGACAAGGGCAGCGATCCTCCCTCTCTGCTCTGCCCTGGTAAGGCCACATCTGGAGCACTGTGATCAGTTCTGGGCTCTTGAGCTCAAGACAGGGAACTTCTATATCCAGTGGAGGGCCACAAAGATTATGGGAGGCCTGGAGCACCTCCTTTATGAGTAAAGGATCTGGGGCTGTTCAGCATGAAGAAGAGAAGACTGAGAGGGGATCTTATCGAAGCTTAGAAATATCTAAAGGGTGGTGCTGTAGTTTAGCACAGGAGAACAGAAAGAAAAAGAAAAAAAATGAAGTAAAACTCGTGGGTTGAAATAAATATATATATACTAAGAAAGAAAAGATTTTAATGATATTTATATATATATATATCTACACACAAAATAAGTGATCAAGTGATACACAAGGCAGTTGCTCTGCACTCGACAACCAATGCCCATCTGCTCAGCCAACTCCTCACCATTTTTCACATTTTTTCTTCATAATGTCATGTATTAAGGAACGCCCCTGCGGTCAGTTGAGGTCAGCTGTCCTGGTCCCATCCCCTCCTAGCTCCCTGCCTCCCCAGCCCATCACTGGCAGCACTGTGCTAGAAACTGAGGCTGAAAAGGTCTTTGGGTGTGTGCAGCACTGCACTGCCACAATAAAAACAACAATCTGTTTTCAACGTTGTTTTTATCCTAAAACCAAAACAGCAGTATAGCAGACACTATGAACAAAATCAACTCTGTCCCAGTGAAACCAGGCTGGCACTTCCTGCGAAATGGGTGAGGGGAACAGGCTCTTTTCAGTGGTGTGTAACAAGAGGGCAAGGAACAGATAACACAAACTGGAACTTGAATATGAGGAAAAAAAAATTAAAATGAGAGTGACAAAGCATCGGGACAGGCCGTTCAGAGAGGTGGTGGTGGAGTCTCCTCTGGAGATCTTCACTACCAGCCTGGATACTTTGCTGTGTAATCTCTAGGGAACCTGCTTTAGCAGGGGGGTTGGACTTGGTGGCCTCAAGAGGTTCCTTCCCAATTTTATGATCCTTATATGGGGCAGTATCAGCAGCCACTCCAAAAAAACAGGAACAGCACGAGGCAAGGGGACTTCCTTCTGTGGGTCAGGAAGAGGAACTGAGAACAGCTCAGGCAGTTAGCATGCAGCTCTCAAAAATGAAACCAATGTTTTGTTTGGTGATATGGGCCGCTATCAGCAACACCCAGGCAGAACCACTGCAGATAACTGCAGATCAGAGGTGGGATGGGCAGTCAGTAATTATCTGCCCTCATCAGGAGGTGACTGCCTGCACACAGCATGTTATGCATCGTGTGCTGTAACGCTGAGAAGCAAAAGGGTTCATGTACCAAATAGTTGCTAAAAGAGAAAAGGAGCAGCTGAAGCACTTTTCTGGACAGACTTCTCTCACCATGTAATAATATGCAGACTTGTTGCATCGTAACAGGCAAACTTAATTAAGGAGGGGACATCTCACAAATGACGCCTGTTCCCAAGGAGGGCAGGAAGAGAGTGAGACCCACAAAATCCCCTCCGACCCATTAACAGATTATTCCAAATCTCAAGCCGCACTTACGCAGCAGTAAAGCCTTTTAGAGAAGGCCTGCTGACCACAAGAGGCCTCTGCCTCATTTGCAGCAGCTGACAGAAGCGGGGGCAGTGGGTGGGGGAAGCACAGACACGAGGCAGAACAGTGGCAGTTCAGTGTGCGCCCATCACCAGAGCAATGGCCCTAATTAAGTGGCATCCATCGCTGGATCCAAGGGTAGTGACATCTGTCTACCTTCACCTTTCTCTCTCCAAGTCATCCCGGCTCACCACCAGTAAGGAATAGATAGATTAAAGTATCACAGTGGGATATAAGTAAGTATTTAACAGACTGTTTGTTGCCATTACACCTGAGTTTACCCTAGCAGATCTCAGCCATGCCCATACCTGCGTACGTTTTCCAGGGTAGCTCAGAATCGGGTTGTGATGCACATCACACTGAAGCACTGTGCACACGCTGCCGCAGAGCTCACTGACAACAGATCTTCAGAGGAAATAAATGCACTCAGAAGCACACAGAACCAGCGTATATGATTGGGTACAGATATGGATGGAGCTGATATACAGCAGGCAAATATTTCATCTTGTCGGCAGCCTTCCTGTTTTGTGTGCTGCAGAAGCCATTGTCTGTGGACTTCCCTAACGGAAGCTTCAGAAGTTTAAATACGTTAGCAGTCAGGAAGCCCAGCTGTGAGAAATGTCTCCCTCAGCCAGTTCTGCCTTACTGAACAAAGAACTGTCAAAACCAGTGAAAAAAAAAAATGAAAAACACCACTTGCTGGCAGTAATATAGTAGGAAAAAACAAGTTTTACCCTCTGCAAGCAGCTGGGAGCTCAGCACGGCTGCTGCAGGCTGCAGCAATCAATTTTTTAGTTCTTCATTTTGTGCTCTAACAGAAGCGAGAGTAACCAAAAAAAGAGGGAGGGAAATAACCATCTAAAAAAGGAGCTCCGTGCAAAATTGCAGCCCTAAGCCCAGTGATGAGCGCCTCTGCTTTAGGGAGCCTCACAGCTAGTGCTGGAGGTGTGGGAGATGCCAAGCGACGACCAGGGGTTGGGCGCAGGCAGCTGAAGCTGGGGAGCGCTGGGCGGGCAGTGAGAGGTGGTTTGGCAGCTCTAAAACGCTTCAGAAGCGCTTTTTCAGAAGTGCTACAGATTTGCTGTCATAGGGCTGGACAAGAGGAAAGAGCTGAGCTAGAGGTGCAGAAACGGGTTCCCTACAGGAGAGAATGGGAGCACCATTTGGGAAGCAATACAGGATTTCCCATCCCCCTAGCTTCAGTCCCACGGCTCCATCCCCTTCATTCCATCCCTACCCGTTTTGCTCTGCCCCATTCCTCCCTTCCCCATCCCTCCACCCCTCAGCCAGCTCAGGCCATAAATGCACTCACCTCCTCTTGCAGCTCCCCTTTTAAGGCCCCAGCTTTCACTGTGCAGGGTGTTGTTCAGTTTGCATGGGCGGTGCTTTCCAGCAGCCCAGGCCCAGCTTTCTGATACGCTTGGCTTTTTTTGCCTCAATGGTTTTGCCTCCAATCATAGCAGAGCCCTTTCATCTTTTGCTTCAGCAAGCACAAAGATGGTTTCCTCGCATTCCATACGTATTACATTAAAAAGTGGGTGGCTATGGCTGACAAGAAATAGAAATTTCCCAAATTGGGGAAAAGTGGGTAAAAGTGAGTCAAAAGTCTCAGTGATGAAGCTGATAGTGAAAAATGGGAAAGTGGGTGGACACTCAACCATCCTAGATATCACTGAGCATGCCCAGAGGGATATTAGCATATATTAATGAGTCTTTGAAAAAAAAAGAATATATATACGTCAACATACTGCATATGTGTATCTTAACCGTGTAAAACCTGAGCTCTGACAGAGCACGGTTGTGCTTGTCAAGTCAGCTGGCACACATCGTGAGGAATAAAGCAATGCCACTTTCTAACACCACATTGGAGTTCAAGAGTTTTCTTCCTGGATTTCATATGACAGCGTCTCCAGAGGATAAGACACTCTCAGGGGAAGAAATTGCTAAGTCTCTTTGCATCAGCAGAAGTTTATTACCGCTAAGCAGGTATTCTCATGGGCAGCACTGGGGTAATGGGGGGTAATCCTCCTATCATGCATACCTTACACAAAAGATCTGTTTATATACATAACTTCTGTTGTCTAAGCAGAAGTTTTCCCAGGAGTATGTTACGTATTCATGATCCATGCCAAGCAGGACCCCCTATTTTCTTCGTACCCAGACTCAGCCGAACTTCCGTATCTCCGTGGCTCAGAGACACAGCTCTTTCTGTTACCTAAACAAATTGCAGGGCAGGGGTATCCATCAACAAACATCAGCAAGTTTAACTATATTATTATAAATTGTATCATGTTCAAACAGAACAGTATTACGATGTGCCTCCCCATTCACAGTGCTACATCACAATTATCACCCATAACATGTAAAGGCTACCGTGGTGTTGCAGGCAAGTATTACTTGTATTATACAACAATTCAGCAACTATGCTTGTAAGGATATATTAACAGAACACTTTGTGCTATTACTTCTTCAAATCAATGCTGTCAAGGGGTCCCTGCTAGAGATCCTGAAAGCTGCTGTGCCCTGCTTCCTTCTCTGTCCTACTTGTCAGCGTTACATTAGGCAGGCAACCAGCAGAGCAGCTTAGTCATGGGCAGCAGCACTGCACCCTGCAGGCAGTACGCCCCAGGGCTCAGCATCTTCAGCAGTGCCACCAACCTGGGATGTGTGGCACCAATGGTGATGCTGGCATCCAGGGTGCAGCTAAGTGGGCTGAGGGACCACGTGGGGCTCAGAAAAGGGAAATACAGAGTGATGCCCCTAGGGAGAAACAGCCCCACGCTGGGGCACCCTGTGCTGGGACAAGCATCTCCCTCCATGGTCTGATCATTGCATCCCACAGCCTACCTCAGCCTGCTAAAATAAATAGCTTTTTTTTCTTTTTTTAAGCTCAATGATATTGCAGAGAAACCAAGACTGCTAACAAAACTAAGCAAAGAAAAAAAGTCAATAGATAATGCACCCACAGTATCAGGGCAACAGGAAAGTGTGGCAGAAGGTGGGCAAATAGACACATATGGCTTATGCCTCAGAGGTGGCACTGCCATTGCAACCAGAGTTTGCTGTTGCAGGGAGATTACTTCCCTTACAAAGGGCAGCAAAATCCCATCACGTGTTTGATTTGTGTTTGCTTCCCCTCGGGCCAACCCTGAGAATCCCACATGCAGAACTGTGAGCACTCAGCTACTGCTGCTTGCGGTGAACTGAAGGAGAGGATTTTAAAAGCTGCAAAAAGGAATGAATTCTTAACCCTCACCCCTGGAACAGATGCAGTCTGGTCCAGCAGAGAATTGCTGATACCTTGGCCTACACACTACACCCCAAAACACCCCATATTTTCCTTCCTGTGCAGAAAAACCCAGGAGAGAACAGAGGAGCCATTGTCAACAGCCAGCGACAGGCACAGTGCTCCTACAGAGTGATTTGTATTTAACCAATGCAAATAGTTTTAAAGCACATGAAGGTCTCCACAGGCATGGATGCTGCCATTTGCACAGGTCTTCAGGAGGTGCACAGGAAGCACACAAGCAAATCACCCTGATGTCATCTGCACGTGGAGAGGAAGCATCAAGCACGGCCCTGTGTGGCAGCAGGAAAAGGCTGGGGTGGGCATGGTTGGTTACCTACACACACTCAGAAACATACACAGCCTCATTAATGCCATAAACAGGCAAGGGACATGCTTGTAACTAGTTTTAAAGGCATTTCTCTAACTCGGAGTCTGGTTTTAAAGTGGAAAATAAATGGGAAAACATGCATTAGAAATCCCTAGTGCTGTGTTAAAGAAAAAGACAGAAATGATTAATTTCATTGCTTTATATCGCCAATATCACAGGCTCAGACCTGTGAAACTGAGATCCATTAATATGTTGAGCAGCCACACAGGAAACATCCCCAGTGTCTAGCAGGTTAAATCAGGATCCTTGCTGATGGGCAGTGACATCTCAATGGACCTGGAGGGAAGAAATGTCTCACAGTGAGGGTGCTGTGTAATAGAAGTTGTGGGTGCCTCATCACTGAAGGTGCTTAAAGTTTGGTTGGATGGGGCTTTGAGCAGCCTGATCTGTTAACAGATGCATTGGATCAAATGATCCTCAGCGTCTGTCCCAACCCAAACCATTCTGTGATTCCATGTGCTGATCATCAGAGGAGCCATAAGTGCAGCCCTGCCCCACGCCTGAAGCCCCAAACCTTGCACATCTCCAAACCCAACAAGACCCTAAACACAGCTGTGACATTCCTTCCTCTGGCTCAGGATGGTTTTAGCTGGGGCACAAAGAAGCTGACTAAGGCTGTGCATTGGATTTGCACAGAATGTGGACCCCCCCCCCCCCCCCCCCCCCGAGCATCCCATCACAAACCCAGGGTGAAATCAGAGGCTGGAAGGTGAGAGCTGGTCTGCACCTTTCCTGGGGTCTAAACTTTGGAACAAAGCATTTTTTGGTTTCCATATCCCACTTTTTTCACTCCAAGTTTATATTTCTGAATTTACACAGGAAAAGGCAAAGGAGGTTGTACCTTTCCTTGTCTGCACAATTGGAGTCATGTTCCTGCAGCCACCCCTGTGTTGTGTGATCTGTGAAAAAGCACATTTATCATTGAAAGCAACCAGAGAGGCACAGCATGGGTCAGTGAATTCAGGAGATGGCATCTGGGGCTGGGATAGGGAATGGATATTGTCGCCTGTGAGGTTAGGAGGACTTCTCAGAATGAGGAAAAACAACTTTTGAATAATTCACATTGGGCTTGGGGAAATAAGAGAGGCACTTACAGCAGAGGAAGATGGCGAGGATCGGCAGGGCCAACACTGCTGCTGTGCTGACCACAAGGGTGGTGACATCCATGAATGCTGCACAGCCTTCTTCTGTGGTCAGATAAGGAAAAAGCAGCAGAAAACTCAGTCAGAAGGAAAAGACAAAAAAAGCAGTTGGCCACTATAGAAACATGCTTAAATACACTTAGAAAAAAGAAAAAGCAAATCTCTGGGAAAAAACAAAAAACAAAAACCAACATTTTGATGGATTTTTTGGAGCAGTCCCAGCTCTGAATGGTAGAGTAGAAGGGCTAAGGCAGACAACTTTCTCACCATGGCGTTGGTGGATGTTCTTCATGTGGAAGCTGCTCGTCAGCACCACCAAGAGCACCCCTCCTGGAGCAGCATAGCCCATCGTGCGCTGTGCTGGCCATGGGAAGAACAAGAAGGAAATGTCAGTGTGTGTTCCCACAGGTGGACAAGGGCTGCCAGAATGACCTGGTACACGAGTGATAAGATGTGTGGCAAAAATAAACTCCCTTATCATTTGGTTTTATCTCCATTCTTGCCTTTCTTGAACAGCTCACCTGCTGTGCTTTTGAGCTGGATGAGCTTTGTAGGCTGGAATGTCACTGTGGAGGCCACTAGGAAGGTGATCACAATCACATACAAAAGGAAAATCTCTGGCAGTATGACAGCAATGGATGGGCCTGGAAGAGAACAGCACAGTGCTGAGCACCACTTTTTCCATTTGCCTACCATTTTCAGGATTTTATAAATCTCCATCATGTCCCTTTCTCATGACTGGACTTTCCAGTCACCTCCCCCCCCCCCCCCCCCCCCCCCCCCCCCCCCCCCCCCCAACCTGCAGCTCTATTCCTTGGTCATTCTAAGTGCCCTTCTGCAGTTACCCACTGGGAAAAGGCTTTGTGAAAAAGAAGAACAACCATATTAGTAGTATCAGTACTAATTGACTAATCCATATGGTGGTTTCTCAGCTTGCCAATGACAACATGTTGAGCCCAAGGGGTCCATTTCCTCTATAAAGGGCCCTTCTCCTCTCCAGCCACCACTCAGATGGTGGTTCATCTCCAGTGATTACTCTTGCATGCTGTACCCTTTGTGAGGGATCTGCACTGCAACACTCTCAAAATGCCTCTTACCTTCTTCTCTCATCCAGAGGAGCCCAGCAGTGCCAGCCAGGATGGAGGAGATGCACACCAGCCCACAGGTGTAGGCACTGAGCCACCTCCACAGCTCTCCCCCTAGACATCAGAGCAGAGTGGGGTGACATTTATGTCCCCCCATGCTGCCCCACCACCAGCCCCCAGCCCTTCTTTTGGGTGGGATGCAGCAGTGGGGTGTCCCTATCCAGGGTATGGTAGAGTTGACCCACTTAAAAGAAGGGATGGCTTTAAAGGCTCTGCAACCATGGCACAGAGTATATAAAATACTTTATTAAAATGGAGTCTTGGAATGAAAATGCTCGGAGATGCTACAGTTTTCTATTAATGTGTCTCTCAGTCACCTCAACACTCTGAGCAAAATTATGTAAGGATATGCTAGGGTTCAACCGGACCTGAAAACATAACAAAAATCAGTTTTCTTCATTCAAACAAACAAAACACAACAACAAGGAGAGTTTACTCTTAAAATATGCCTCCAGATGAGAAGGGGAGATGTTTAGTCATCAGGAAGGGGACATGAGTTGGTTACCATCTCTTCCCACAGCATCGCTCCTCACTCAACACCACTGGAGGACAAAACTGGGTGTTCAGCTGGGTCCCCAGTGCAGACTCACTTATTCTTAGCTTTTCAGACTGGCAGACTGGAAAAATTATGCCCCATCCTGAGACAGCAGCAAAGACCAGAGCAACCACTGAAATCCTCAGCACATCCTGCAAGGGAGGGGAGAGACCTGGGGAAAAAAAAAAGAAAAACAATCCATGAAGATGGGAGCAATGTCACAGTAGGAACAGCATGGAGGGCTCTAGTGGGCCATGGAGTTCCACCATGGCTAGGTTGGATTTCTCACTTTACTAGCTGGTGGATTTATTTCTGCTGGAGGCTCTGATCCATGAAACACTCAGTTGGGAATGAACATTGCCCACAGGCACTCTGCCCAACACTCTGACCATATCCTGCCCACCACTGCTTTAGTCAAGGGTTGTGATGTTGACCTAGGCTTCGGGACATTCCCTAAGAAGGAATGGCCAAATTCTTCTGCTCATTGCACCAAGATCTGTGTCCTGGCGCCGGCTAGAGGTGGGATGGAAGACTGCAAATTGCTTCCCATCATCCTAAAATAGCGAGCTCTGGTTGACAGCACGTGGACATCCTGGGTGGCAAGACCTTGGGAGATGGAGGAAGAAGAATGAAGTGAAGTAACCAAGGGATACTGGGGACAGGTGGAGCAAAGGAAGAGTGTTGGGTTCTGGAGAGCAGCATCTCTCCATGCCCCTCAGGGCAGCCCATGGGAAGCTCATCTTTAGCCACTATTTTAGTGATCACCTGCAACAGTGACGTTCAGGGAGGTCTCCTGCCAACTTATCCCATTGCTGACATTGCAAGAGTAGGAGCCACAGTCCGATTTCTTTACCATCCTCAGGTGCAAAACACTGAGGCTTCCAGAGAGGTGGTAACTTCTGTCCGGGGGAAGCATCTGCCCATCCTTCTTCCAGGTGAAGATGTCTGCCCTGCCCTCTGCTACCTCACATAGTATCTCACCACTTGCCTTGGCCACCAGGCCACTGCTCCAGAGCTGAGGGTGAGACACGGGCTCTGGAAAGGAAACAGAAACACCAGCACTTCTCTCAGACCTGAGCAGGACCATCCATCCACAGTGGGGGTCAGGGTGGTAGTGTTCATTAAAGCATCCTTTAATCTGTAAGGATGTGATTGCAGGTGACTTTTGCTAGGAAGTCTTGCACTGCACAAGGGCATTGGGCTTTCTGGCATTTATTTGGTACTCCTAGTTAAGTCTTTTTTTTTTTTTTTAAATCATATTTGGGTTAACACAGCACATTTAGTACATGAGGGAAAAAAAAAAAAAAAAAAAAGGAAAAGGAAAGCAAATTTCTCTGCAGCAGAGAAGTTGCAGTAACATCATGGCAGCAGCATTACTAGAAAGAAAATAACCAGAGCAAATTAAGGGAACTGGCAAGAGCAACATCAAGAAGAGACTCGTGTGTTATTTAAAGCATGTTCTTATCTCAGCAACAGCACTTTGTGCCTGGAAGTAGCAAACAGCCACAGACAGCATGGTGTGTGAAGGATGATTTTGGTGACTTCTCCATGAAGACCACCTTGCTGGGCTTCACTCCATTAGTGATGCCAGCTTCCCTTGGAAATGATGCAGCATGGGTGACACCAGCCACAACACTGCCAGCCTCTCCATCTCTTCTCTGAGAGCAGAGAACAAGGGATGGAAGAGACCTTCCAGTACGGGGTCAAGCCCTTTGTCATATCCAGAGCTGAAGCAGCATCACCAGATCTGGTGGTCTCCCAGAGTTCTGGGAAGGTCTCTATCCACAGCTGGTCCAACCTCCCCATCACTGGCCTGTCAGGCTCAGCCCAAATCTCTTCCCCATACCCCTTTGCTATGCTGATAATCCATATATGTTCAAAAATATTGCCTGCATCCATCACCCCACTCCTCTCTCTCACAGCCACCACTTACTGAGGACATCCAACAAGACTGAGAAGCTCTCCCTTTCTGCTTGGTTGATAGTCACTCTGTAGATGCCACTGTCACTTTCTTGGAGGTCCTCCAGGAGGAGAGATCCATTGGATGCATGCAGGTGGGCTCGTGCAATGTATGGCATGCAGATGGTCAGGTTGTGCCTCTCATACTGCAGGATGGTGTGGGAAGCAGTGCCATTGAGGTGCTCCCATCGTATGGAGTGGATGAGCGTGATGTTAAGCGGCCCCGCAAGCAGCACTGAGGAACCCACCATGGCCATCCTTCTCTGCAGGGCTCTCTCCACTTCTGCAGCCTGTTTCAAAGGCACCAGCATCCCTAGATGGTAGAAGAAGATGAAGAGAAGACAAGCTAGGGAGATGGAGCAAGTCTTGGGAATGGTACTCACTGTGCCAAGGACACACAGGTAGAATCTGGACAGCTTGGTCTTCATATCTCACAACCCATCTCCATCAGGCAGTGTGATATTCCACTTAGAGCTTATATTGGATGGTCTGAGAAGTCTGCCCGCAGGCCTGACACCTTTTCTACTCGAGTTCTGTGCATTAGGGTTGCTTTCCCTACCAGTCTGTGCCCAGAAGGCACTTTCCAAGCATCTCACTCCAGTTCCTGATCTAGTTTGGAGCTGAAAGTATCTATTTGTTCCCACCTGAGAGGGATAGAGCTGCTTCCCCAAAATAAATGTCAATTTATGGGTTTTTCTATGAGGCTCTGAGGACTTCCAGGCCACACAGCACCCAGACCAAACAGAGTAGAGAGTTTTCAGGGAAAGCCAGGCAGAAATAACTGCTAAAATCTTGACTTGTAAGATGGAGTCCTCACAAGCAAACAAATGAAGAAGAATTTAATTAGTTTAGAGGAAGAGAAAATGAGAGGAATGGTATTTGTTTACCTAGAAATGATAACAGTCATGAAAGAAAGGTTATTTTTTAGCCAGGCACAAACCCAATGAATCGCTGCTGACACAACTAGCATAACAAACACACCCACGCCTCTGCTGATGGAAACTCCAGGATTTCTGTTTGAGGCTCTCTTCCCCTAACAGGACAGCCAGGCTAATCCTGAGCATCCTGCTGGAGGTGGCCTGAGGTGAAGAGCAGCAGCAGAGACCAAGCAGGCAGTGAAAGCTGTGCTTCCTCCTCCCCCTCCACCATGTCTCGGTTCCTGCCCCAGTGAAAGCTGTTGCTACACATTCACACTGCAAACCCTCCTGAAAACCATCCTTCCTAAGCAAACTCTTTATTTCCCTTCACAGTTTTGCAATACAGGATAGGAGTCAGCCATAACAAGGCAAACAAAACAAGCCCAGCTGACGGTTTATCCAATTCTCATACTGGTAACCTATAGAAACAGCCATGGGGCTTTGTTCTTGTGCCACCATCACCTGAGAGATGCGTGCAATGAAGATAAGTGATCCATTTATAACAGAAAATCCCCTTGTTATAGAAGAACGCTCTTCACACATCATCAACATGAAATAAGAGTAAATATTCCATTATAAACATCTTACAACTGCAATAGCCCAAGCTCATTGCGTAGGTGCTCAGCATCCGCAAACACTACAACATCTGGACAACTGTGTATTTTTTCCCATTTTAAACGCCCAGCCTGAAAACCTTTGTCCATTTGCTCTTCAAGCCAGCCGGTACATACAGTAAGACCACAGCAAGATTATTCCTATGACTGCAATACATGTTGTGTTGTCACATATATTGATCTCTGTATGAACCTACCTGCAGAAAACTTGTAGCCTCAGTGCCATTCTCCTGAGCTGCTTCTATCTCCTCTGCCTTTGACTAACAAAACAGACATGCTCTTTCCTTGCAGGATGAGCATTTAGCCCTGCTTTAAAAAAAAACAAAAAACAAAAACCTGACCCTTTATAGGCCAGCGATCCCCATGCATAACTGCCCAACTGCTTACACCTGTGCTGGTGTGCCCCAGGTGAGGATTCAGACTCGAGCCCACTGGGTGGCATCAAACCCCCATTTACCTGCCAGGAGCATCCCCAGCAGCTCCACAGGGTGGTGCAGCAGCAGCATCCGTCGAGGAGAAAAGATTCAAAATTGTTGTATTTAAAAAATACTAATTCCAAGTTAGGTTACTGCTTGCGAGGAGCTGGATGGCTCTGCTCTGGAGGGCAGTGCTGAGGCTGGGCTGGCTCCACGCTCACGTCTCCCCTCTGGCCGCTCCTCTCTGCCCTTGCTGCAGCTTCTCCTCCTTCCTGGGAGGTTTCTGCCGGCAGCAGCCGCTCCCGCCCCGGCGTTGTGATGTCCATCCCGATCCCGTTCCCGCAGGGAGCAGGGCACTTTGTCCTAAGGAGCCAGGCTGTGCCCCTGCAAGAAATGCAGCAATTGGTGGCCAGGACAGCCCAAGGGAAAGAACCCATCCCACTCCAGGAGAGATTCCTATTTCCATTCTGAAAGCAATATAAATTCCAGATGAGGTCAGCAGATCCATTTCCATCTCTTTTTTACAGCTCATGCATCTTCCCCCGGAGAGCATCCCAGTTCCCTGAGGTGGTTTCTCACCCCCTAACCTGTTCCTAGCAGTGGTTTTCTTCTCCACCAAGGCAGATGTAGAATAGGATTACCCATGTGCCACAAGCTTTCTGCAAGAGGAATTTCATTTTAAAGGAGTGTGATCTGGAGGAGCACCTGGAAACCACATTTAATGGTCAGAGAGATGAGAGCCTTAGGAATGTTGGAGCTCGGAGCCAGAGCTCCAGAGAAAGGTTTCTTGGCCTGCTGAGCGTGGCTGTCTCCATCTGGCTCCTCTGGACCATTGAATCCAGAGTGAGATGGATGCTGGGATCAGGCTGCAAAGCCTTGGGAAGTGATGGGTGGATGTCATCAAGCCCAAAGGAAGCACCACCAACATATCGATGTCTGGCAGCTCCGTCACCCCTGTCCATCCTCCATCTGAGCCGTGGAAACTCATTTGAACTATCTGTTGACACCAACCCTTTTCTGACCCATGTTTGGCTTTCATATTTTGCTGTTTTCTTTCCCATTTCTTGACCCTTCCTTTCTCTGTCTTTGTCTCTTTCCAAATAACTACGCCCATCATTACTTTCCCCGCATTGTTCCTCATTTTGCTACGCAGCATCATAGAAGCGCCAAGTGGTTTGGGTTGGATGATGCTCTGATCCAACCTCTAGCCATGCGCAGGGACATCTCACTGCATCAGGTTGCTCAAAACTCTGTCCAACCTGACTTTGACCACTTCCATAAAACTTCTCTGGGCAACCTGCTCCAGTGCCTCACCACCCAAATTTAGCATTTGGAGTACATCCATCCCTAAATTTAATGTTTATGACACCACTGCATGGGCTGTCTTAGCTTTCTCTGGTGCTTCTGATAAGGTTACCTCAGCATTCTTAGCCACATGTGAAACCCATGCATAGCTTGCAGCTCCATGTCTGAGTTTTGATGCTTCTAACACTATGATTTCCCACAGCCTGTGATTCCCCCCCATATTTTTCCTTTTGTTGTTGTTGTTGTTAAAGCACAGGCTGTTCCCACTTGGATCTTTTCACACCAACAGTGCATTTTCATTTTTAATAAAACTTCCCTATTTTCCTGTGCCTAGCAAACTGCAGGCTCTCTGTTCCTCAGTTCCTCAGTGCAGGGTCACATCACCGGACATTTGTATTCAGTCATAATGTTGCAGCCAGGATGCTCAGGACAGCCACAAAACTAAAAGCAACCAAAACAAGTGTGAAGATGCTGGTGTTAAAATGCGATTTGCCACTGGGAGCAGCAGTTCTGTCCCCTCCCTGGAGGCAATGCTCCCACCATGTCCCCAGCATCCATACCCACCTCTCCAAAGAGACATGCTTATCAACCAGGATACTCTACCATGTTATTCCTTCCACAATTTGTTGGAAGGAAATTTTAAAATCATATTCAACATTTAATCTTAAATGGATGACATGAAAAATTAGTTAAATCCTTTCACGATCACTTCAAAAGCTTTTCTGGCACTTGTGTTGCACCCTGCACCTTTCAAAGGTCTGGGAAAGATCAAGCAGCAAACACAGCAGCACGAACCTGTAAATACTGGCTGCAAGGAACAGTTTGCACACATGCTGCTTTGGGCCACAGCACCTTCTTGCGGTTGGAGAGAGATAAGAGTAGCTGACTATCAGCACATATGTACCCAGTGTCACAGCCTGTCCAAAGGCACAGCCTCAGGCCTCACTTTCCCAGCCCCACGCTGCTGTAACCCAGCTTGTCATGAAGGGGCAATCATTTGTCTCTGCTAGAAGTCAGAAGTGTCAGGATAAAGAAAAACTTTGTGTTTGTTGGTCGATCTCAGCATTCCTTTTGCAAGCTGTTTGGAGCACCTTTGCCAGGGAGGTGCTTGGCTGAAGGGTTTACCCAGAGCTTTTCTAAATTCTACACATAGTTTTAAAAGAGAGGAAAAAATCAGTAATGCAGCTTCTCCATCACATCAGTTCTGGTAAAGTCCATGACGCTTTTGCTCTGAGTAAATTGGATGTCAGAGTCCCAGAATGGCAGGGTAGTGGAGGCCTGCAGGCACTTTTTCTAATCCACTGCCTTGCTCACACAGGGTCTTACATACGGTCACCAGGACCATGCTGTGTTTGGTTTTGAATGTCTTGGCCTGATTCTTCAGCCCCACCAACTTGACAAATTCACTTATCCAACCCACATTTGTCAACTTCTCTATGAGGAAGTTTTGGGAGATGGCATGAAAAACCTCGGTAAGGCTGAGGTAAAGCATCATCCACTGCTCTGCCCTCATCTAGCAACCAGCCACTTCAGTGCAGAACCATGTCAGGTTGGTTAAGTGGGATTTCTCATCCATAAATCCAGTCTGACCCTTCCCATAGATTTCTTGCCTGTCATATGTTGGGAAGTGGTTTCCCTCACCTACTCAGGATTCAAGGGGAGGCTGACCAGGCTGGAGCTCCCCCTGGTCCTCCTTTCTGAATGCAGGAGTGATGTTTGCCCTCCACCAGCCTTCATGAACGAGTTGCTCCCAGAGACGACCCAGAGCAGCCTTGCCACGCCATCAGCCTCTCCCTCAGAGCTTGTAGGTGCATCCCATCAGGCCCATGTGCCCACATACATCCAGTTGGCTTGGGTGCTCCCTAACCTGCTTCCCTCCAACCAAGGGAGACTGGTCTTACTGGTGAAGACCGAGGTGAAGAAGGCATCAGATATGTTGGCATTTTCCATGCCCTTCATCACCAGGTCCCCTGCCCCACTCAGAGCAGGCTGTGCTCAGCAGGAGATGACTTTCAGCCACATGGGATGGGTTAAAACGTGGAAGAAGAGGCTTGGACAAGCAGCAGAGCTGCTGAGAGGAACAGTGCACTAGGTGAGTCTTTAAAATCAAAGGCTGCGAGTATCCGGCAGAGGAAGCTACTCTGAGATGCAGCCAGCAGTGTTGGAGGGGGGGCCTGCAAGCACCAAGCCATTAGCAGCCGCAAAGAAAGCCACACTGACCTTTAAGAGCTACAAAGGGCAGGCAAGAAGGGGCCAGAGACACAAAGCCCTGTGAAGAAGCTGCTCAGAGGAGGAAATGGAAAGGCAGAGGCAGCCGATGAGGCTGCAGCACAAGTTAGAGGCCATGACACGGCGGAGGTGGGGACAAAATGTCACTGGTAGAACATGAAGCAAGAGGGGGAGCAGAACGTCAGGGCGGGGGGAGGGAAGAGGGCAGGAACTGGGCAGCAGGCAAACCTTATGGAGAAACTGTGGCCAACCATTCTTCCTTTCTCTTGCAGTTTGTGCGCTACTGGTTTCTGCAGTTTGCTCTGTGTTCTGCACAGAGCGTGAGATGCAAGAGGAACCATGGGTTGCTGCGGGGAATCTATGATGGGTCTGTGATAGGACTAGATGATCTTAGGGGTCTTTTCCAGTCTTTATGATTCTATGACTCCCCACACCTCTCTGCTGAATGAAGACCTGCTTTCCTGTCCCCTGGGCTACTCTTACAGCCTACCAAGTAAGTGCAGTTTCAACCACACTGCGTTACAAGCACAGCTGTCCCATTTGTGTATGACCCAGCATGGAGGGCAGGACGGGGCAAGCCTCATTAGCACAAAACTGCAGAGAACTGGTCTCAATGTTGCATCTTGCCACTCACCAGCAGACACCAGCCGCTCTGCAGACAGTCTTTCCACTGTTTGCTAATGGATGTTCTCACGACAAGAGAGAAGCTGCATTACCTTGCCCAAATCTTAGTGTCACGTCTCAACAGCCTGTAGCACGTTCCTACAAAAAGCACTTGAGCTGAGATCAGATCATTACATGTTGGGTGCCACATCAGGTCAATTCCTGGACTTGAGAAATCCCATGGAAGGATGGGCATTTCTGCTCACTGTGCTGAGCATGGACTTGGACCTCTTACAAGCTCTCCCTGCTGCCACCCTACAAGATCCCAGTCTCACAGGGAGGATTTAATGCCTCCTGTCCTGCAGATTCTCCTTACAGATGACATTTCAGGGGCTGAGCTCTCCGAAGATGTCTTCTCCAAGAAGCTGCTCTGGGAGATGTAAGGCTCACAGTGATGTGGTTTTGTTACTGAGTGAACGTTGGTTGCTACAAATTTAGATCTATGGATTAATTTTGCTGCAGTATTGAGGTTACTTTGTTGCTTAGCAGGCACCTGGGAGACTTGTCTGATAGGGCTCGCAGCTGCAGAAGAGCAGGTCGAGCTCAGCAGTCCTCCCTCACCCTCCTTGCTCCCCCTGGATGGTGTTTCCAAGTCTTTTAGAAGATAGGCAGGGACAACTGCAGCTGTGCTTAAGGACAAGCAGGAAGGCAGTGACCGCAAGTGCTTCATCCTCAGTACTGACACCCACAGTTCCTACGCACTTATTTGCTGCTGCTTCATTTTTTGGTTCTTTCCTCTTCCCTGATGCTTGGGGTCTTACGATAACCACTGCAAAGGCACGGTTCATACCTAGGGCAGCTTTTCAGCGTTTGTGGTTTTATCATCACAAAGCACTTCTGTTTTCAGAAGAAAAACTGCTGTAATGAACGTCAGCAGGGTTTCAAAAGGGTAGAACAGCCCTGTACTTCAGCTGGTGCCAGTAGAGGGGCTTTGACCACCACTACCATTGTCATCCCTCTGGAACATTATCCCAGACAACACAGGAGCACCCAAATGGGAGGGAGGCAGCAGTAGAGGCTTCTGTGCTGTCTCCAAGCCTGGTTGTGGTTGGGAGATGCCTAGCACTCTTACCGGTCTTAATATCCATTTATTATTGATGGGGCCCCAAGTTTCAGTACATTATCTAGTTTTCTATGAAACCCAGAGAGGAAGAAAATTATCTATGCTCTCACTGCATTTTGCAGAGACCCTAAAATGCTACTGCTGTGGGACCCCAAGGTTGAGCAAAAAGGGTCTGTTCAAGTATGACTTGGCATACTCATAAATACAAGGACACCAGGTCCAAAGATCTTTGTACATTCTTTTAATATGACAAGCAATTGGTAAGGGACTTTGGGATGCACGTCTGAAATACATTCAGTGTTCATTACCCCTCAAATTAAGGCGTGTCTCTGGAAGTGAGCTCCTCATAGGTGAACTGTTGTTTTGCTTTTGCTTTAGGCATCTTTCTCTTGCGTTCAGTGTCTCTGTGCTCTCTGGAAATCTCAAGATGAAACTAAAAGCAGATCATTCCTCAAATTCAAGAGAAACTGTGGTTTGAGGCAAACTAATGCACTTCCATAATCTGTTGCTCCAAGCACTTAAACACTCCAAGGGCAGGAGGGGGCTCACCAAGGGTCTGATCACAATGGACGGAGTGGCAACAGCATCACCTTGGCTCTGCAGCAAATTTTGGAGCCAAAGCAGAAGGCAGTTGAGGAAAGTTTATGGATGTGTAGAGAGTCTCTGGTGATGCTCTTGGCTTTGTCTCTTCAAAGTCTTCTCCAACTGTGGCATAAATTGTTGCCATGTCCCCTACCATGGTGTTTTCCATGTGGATATCCTCTGTGTTTGAGGCCTGGAGAAGTACAGAGAAAACACCAAAGACGCTGGAATTAGAAGGAATCCAGAGCTGCTGACCACATGCATTTTACACAGGGACCTTTCAGACAAAGCCAGTCCCTACATGAAACACAGCCTGCAGAGCAGCTGGGGCTGTCCTGCTCTCATGTTTCCTATTTAGGCTTCTTTGACTCTTCCTTGGGGTTTTATTTCTCACAGCTGGAACCCTGCATGAGATGAGTCTCTAGATGGCCCACATGGACCCCAAAGACATTCTGAACATAAATTCACAAGGCTGGCAATCAGGGAAGAAATACTGTCTCCACATTTCTCCGCATGTAACCATCCTTCCTCGATGCTGCCGTTGGTCAAAGCTGTCCTCAAGCTTCTCAGGTCCCTAAAAACAGCTCCTTTGGGCTCTGGGAAGGAGGCAAAGAGGAACTGTGCAGCTGGGGGAAGGGCAGGCACTTCACAACTTACTCTAACAGCACTGAATTAACTTCCTAATTTTATATTCAGCAACCTATCCCTGCAGCTCAGTGCATCATACTGAAGCCAGCACTTAGCATTTACCCAAAGAGCTTTCAGAAGATTTTCCTGTACCTGCTGCTGTGTAATAGTTCTCATCTTCTTCCACAGTGCACCTGAGAAAAAGAGAGTTTTAGTACCTGACAGACACACAGATGTGCTGTGCCCTCCCTCTCCCCAAGCCCTGGGGACCCAGAGGTACACTGGTGGCACTTTCACCAGGGGCTGACATGGATTTTGTCGTCAAGATGGAGATTTCTGTGGCTATTTTACTCAAGTACGAGTAAAATCTCCCACTTGGAAACTAATGCATTTCCTTCCATCCTCAGGGGTGATGGTGTTGATGGAAGCTGTGGAGACCTGCATCTTTCAGGTTTATTTTCAAGTGGACACATCCAGGATATTCTCTCCAGCTGGAGTTTTAAGGTGTCTACAACAAAATAATCACAGCCGCGCTCAGAGGCTGCATTTCTGAGTCCATCAATTGTCATTTCTGGTTTCAGCACTAAAACATCCAAGTTCTGCAGAAAACCACCACAACTGCCCCGTGCTGTGCTTCTGCTTGTTAAGCTGCATCACAAACTTGGAACCTTTTACGAACGGCAGAGGGGCACATCTAAGGAGCTCTTAGGAAAGGAGTAGTTTGGTGAGAAGAGCCCTCCACTGCCTTTATCCCCCAGGAACATCCCCAGAGGTGCAGCCCAAAGGGAGAAATGCAGGAGCAGATCCACCTACCTCGCCACCATATGCAGAGGACCAGGAGCAGCAGAAAGAGGCCGATTAGGGAGCAAACTCCAATTGTGTAGTAACGGGAGATGTCTTGGGCCTTGGTGTCTGGTATTTGGAAGACAACAGCTGCTGTGAGTGCTGCCCAAAGGAATGATGGGGTAGCAGATATCACAGCAGAGATTATTTCCCTTGCTTTGTAAATAGGGTGGCACCAAAGTGGAAGACGAATATTTGGTGTATGTTTCAAAACCTCTGTGGCTATTGATTTATCTGCAAGCACCCTATTAAAACCAGCAAATAATGGATTGCCTCAGGCACAGGACTCAGACCCAGTGCTTTATTTTGAGCCCATCTCTCCCTTCTGCAGCCATTCATCTCGCACAAAGACAAGACAACCAGCTGCATGTACAAGAAGCTCCCATACTTCTAATTTAGCAGGCAGAGCGGAACAGGGTGGGTTTCCTTCTATAAAAGAGCAACACAAACAGCATCAGTTGTGATACCCCAGGAAATCCTCCCTTTGCTGCAGTATTTCATCCCAATAGAAAAAGGGGCAAAATTCCAGCCCATGTCTGATGCCCATGTCCAGAGAATGCAGGAGGAGTCTGTCCAGGCACATGGGCACTTACCTTTGTCAGGATGCCCAGTGGAAACATGCTGCTTGTGCACTGCCAGGCTGATCTGCCCGCTTTGCATTT